GTCAGGGATCATATCTTCCACTGGCCACTCTGCTTGAATGGGCACAAGTGAACAAATCCAGAAGTCTCACAAATAGGTAATATGCTAATGTTTGTTGCAAACGTAAAATTATCACCATGGGTAAAGTGCAGGTTGGGGATCGAGGAGGAGCAGGAAGTGAAAATAGGTGGGGCAAAGCCATAAAAATCCAGACTCCATAGCAGGAAGGTTAGGCTTTGTCTTTTATGAGGGCAGTGGCAGGCTCATCAGAGGCTTTTAGGCAGGAGAGGAACTTGAGTTTGTGCTCTAGAAGGATTGCATCATAAAGTCTGTGCTGACCATAGGAAGGGGCAGGGTTCTAGACTGGTTGGTCAATGGGGAAGATGTCACTCAGCACATCATAGAGACAGGACTGTGGTGGGTGGAAAGCAGGAAGAGGTGATTGTCAATACAAGACAGGGATGGTAGAAGGTGAGAAGTGGGACTGTGGTGAGCTTGCCTAAGAGTGTGGTGAGCCTGAGAATTTCACTGAGGTGCATGAGAGCAGCCTGGTAGATGGGTGTACAGCTTCAGAGAGAGGTATGGCTGAAGCCAAGTGAATTTTACTCCCTTCCAAATTCATTCAAATGTGGCTCCCAAACTAATGCTCAGCTCCTGTCAACACACTGAGAAAAATCTTCAATAGATGACCCCAGCTGTGAAGGAGCTACTCACACCTCAGCCACATAGTCACAGCCCTGGGCTGTTATGGCTTTGCCTAGGCTATTTCCACTTCCTGCCTTTCCTCCATCCCCATTCTGCACTTTACCCATGGTGATAATTTTATGTTTGCAACAGTCAAGTACCAGAGAAGACAGATTGAGAGTAGCAAGGAGACTGCCTCACAAGTAGACCTCACGAGCCTTTGTAATTTTTTTCAGGGCCAGGGTGTTTGAAGATAGGAAGGTGAAGAAAGGAAGTGACAGTGTTTCCTAGCTGACTTCTCTGTTCACACTTCCCTCTTTAATTTTCTCTTGCTGTAACTTGGGGCACAAAGCAGCTCACTTCTATTGCAAAAATAACATCCCCGAGAATGTGGTGCTTTCAACTTCTCACCTTGCTGGTACCATTCCTCAACTTCAGTGTGAACAGGGCAATTACATAACTCATCTGTGTTTCCTATGGTCCCCTTTTGCTTAGCAACTTGAAATCGTTCTCTGTTGTCTCTCAAACCAAGGTTGAAGTCTCACACTGCAACCCAAAGACCCTTGATTTCTCTGCCTTCTAGTCTATTACGTAAAATGCTATCCTGCCTTTTGGCTTATTTCTCCCTGTGTTTTGTAATGAGAGGACTCAGGTTCCAGGATGTGCTGACCAAGCAGAATCTTCTGGGATGACAGAAATACCCTCTCTGTGATGTCCAGTACAAAGGCCACACTTGACACTTGCAAGGTAGCTGGGTGTGACTGAGGAAATGAATTTAACCTCACTTATTTTAATTCATTTAACTTTCCATGGCCATTCGTGGTGGCTAGTGTACTAGACAGCACTGTGCTAGCTAAGGGCTTGTTCTTTCTCTTTCCTAGAGTGATAATGGGTTTCTGGCCTCATTGAAACTTCATTTCCCACTTGTACCAGAGCATTCTGTAAATGCTGAGCACCTGCTTTCTCAAATTGCCTCCCATCAGCCCTCTCTGCAGCCCATGTCTGGCCCAGATCTTCCTGAAGGGCTGGAAACATGCACTATGAGTACAGAGACTGGCTCACAGGCAGAAGTTATCACAGTTTTTATTTTCTTTATGAGAAATCTCTCCATTAATAGTAGCAGACCTCTTTATTTCATCCTGGAACAAGCCACACCCACAAAGAAGAGTAATTGTTCTAAGAAACCAAGACCCACCGAGCTTTTCTTTCCAAAAGGCCTGGCTGGTAAGCCATGCTGGAGGTCAAGACAGGAGGGCCCTCTTCACATGAGACAGAAGGTTCTCCTGCTTAGTTTAGTCACTGGCTCAATGAGTCCCTAGCTGTCACCCCACAACCACAGTGTTTGGATTAAATTCCAGCAGTGTAGAGGTTTGGACTGAACCATCCACATCTTCTAACTTGAAACATAGACCAGGGGCCCATGGTCACACCAGTTATGATGAAAAGACAAATAAGCATGAAAGAAACACTGGTGGATATACGGTGAGTGGCAGCATTTTGGATTATAAAATAAAGTTAGTCAAGGTCTTAGTCATATGTAGATAGACAGGTGCTTGCCTTGCTGTCTCAAAGTCATCCAGCCCCCTCTTCTCCAGGCTAAGAACACAGGGCCCTCATGCCTATTCTTACTTTTGATTGACCATTCTGCAATGCATAGGTGCTTCTAAGGAAGGTTTGTTTGGGTTACTACTGTTTTTTCCATGACAAAGGATGAAAAATTTCCCAGAAGTAAGCACAAAACAATACCCTCGCAACTGAGTTCTGTGCTGGGTGAACTATCTTCAATCTGTAATGCTTCACTGGCTTCTAACCCCTGCCCTTCTTCTGTGCTGCTGCAGATCTTCCATTTCTCCTGCCTCCCATCATGGTCCTAACAAGGTCTGTGGGACCATGGGCCTGGGTCTCACAGCCACCACACAGCAACCCGTATTACCTCTCCTGTGTTGTTGTCATTTGGTGGCATCAGCTCTGAGCCATATAAAATTTCCTTTTTACACTCCTACAAGGAGCCATACCGCCATATCTCAGGCTGCTTCAGGTGGATGGTCACAGAATCTCACTGGAATGGGCGACACTTGGCTGCTGTGGTGGTGGTGTGGGAGAGATCTGACTGCCTCAGTCTTCCACATCCTCCAAAGGTTTCATGTGTGAACTGCATTTCTCATTTCTGTCTATATCTGCTCTTTTTCCAGGAGAATAAGAGTCTTTGGAAGGGATGTTCTTTGACCTATAGAGACACAGAGCTCTACATAGTCCTTCAAATGCCCTCCTCTCCACTGCACTCCTGCCCAACCCCTCCTGTGATTCCTTAGGAAGGTTTATGCAGCCTTAGAGTAAGTGATCACCCCAGTGAAAGGCCGTGAAAACAGTGACTAACCAAGAAGAAAGATCTAAAATAAAGTTCTTAATTGTAGTGCCAGGACATACTGATATAAAGCAAACTCTTTTCAATCATGCTGCCAAATTGTCATTAAAATATCTAAATATTTTAAAACTATAACCAAACATATGTGATTTGTGCTGAGGTTCACCCAACAGGGTGTTGCAGAAAGTGTACTTTGCAAACTCTCCAGGTCCCTGGTGAGAAGGAGAGTGACTCCAAGCTGAGACCCAGGTGTAAGGGTTTGATACAGGGATACAGAACACTTCTAAAGTCAAGGGAGCCCAGTCAGGGCAGAGTTATCTTCCGACAGCACTACAGCATAGAAGGGTCGAACATTAAATAGGATGATAGCTCTGCATTCAGTTTGAGTCAGCACAAGGAAATCTATCATTTTATACAAAATTCTAGTATTCAAAGTATGCCATGAACATGAATAAAGGCCAAGAGCCACAGGCCTAGAAGGAAATAAAAAGTGAGTAATCAAAACCAATGGGGAGGAGTTAGCAAACAGATGTATTAAAGATAGAAATGAAGGAAGAAAGGAAACTTGATAAAGCATATTTTGAAATAAAAGTTGAGAAAGCCCTCAAAGACAATCTCCTACCTTGTAGTATGAAGTAAAATTACTTGTTGGTAAAAAGAATAGTAGAGTATGCTTACCTTTGATCAGGAACTATAGTAAGTGATTGGTATGTTTATTTAATCTCCTCTCCACAATTCCACTGAATAGAAATTAAGTTTAACAAGTAAGGAAACTGAGGCTGGGAGAAGTTGTATAGTTTATTCATGGCCAAGGAGAAAGGAAGAGAAGTGGCCTAATCAGGTGAGAAAAGGGGGGTCAGAGAGGAGTTAATCATTCAGTTCAGCTATGTTGTGAATGTCCCCAGGATCATTAAAAATCAAGGGGATTTCCAGCAAAGGGATAGGAATGCCAACTCTGGGTATTAGCAAGTGTGGGTGATCAGGTTAAGATTAAGCATCCAAGGAGCTCTAAAGTAGTTTTAGAGTCTTTATTGGACTGGCTGGGAAAGAAAGAAGGTGGGCATTAAAGGAAGCATTGAATGGAAACCAGGGTAATTGATAGGTTGCCGTGCATGTTAAGAGAAGGAGCGTTATCCTAGGTAGAAGTCACCAGCAGAAAGGATGTGGAGGCACAGGTCATGACTCAAGTGACAGGCAGAACTCTGTAGGAAGACAAAATCCAGTCATAACATACAGTGGGTGGAAGGGTCTGGCTTCAGAGTTCTAGTGCCAGTGATAACCAGACTGGAAAGGTCATAGACATTGCCCAAGGCCCCTGGTCCAGCATAAAGTCTCAGTGGGAAGAGGGCAAAAGGGCACTTGACATGTGGCAGGAAAATTCAGGAGGCGTCAACTCCCCGCATCCTGGTCTTGTGAATAGGCTGAGGGGTTAGTAGGGTCTGTTGGAGAAGGCTTCTGTTGGTCAGTGAGGTCTGCGCTAACGCACCGGTGCCTCCTCTGAATGGGCCACTGTGGACTAATGCCCAGGCAGCTTCTGGTGACCTCTGCAGTTGTGTAGGACTCACCCTTAACCCTCAGAAAATGAGGCATTATTTTCTCCTCTCTCTGTCAGTACTAACTCCCACGCAGGAAAAGGAAGCACCTTTTGTCAGATGCTGCAGCCACTTCCTCTTCAGAAGGCTCCAGCCAATCTTTCGATTTGCAGAATGTGGGGGCCGACAGCAGCTGCTGGACCGTATGTGCACTGGTCTGGGTCTGGGTCTGGCTCTGATCAGGAGCAGACGGGCCACTCGGCTCCTGTCCGGGTCATAAGGGATTTTCTCTGATGCCGATGTGGCCCCCTGAACTGGACTTGGCGGTGGCCCACCCCACTGTTCAGGCCCCCTTGGGGCTTTCCTTTCTTGTCTCCTTCTCACTTTTCACTCACTGCTTATGTCCCTCAGTCAGTCGGCTGGTCTGTTCCTTTTTATAGCTCGGTCCAGGAGCGTGATGACTGGCGAACAGATGGCGAACTTTCACCCTTCATCCACCCTCAACTCTCTGGAAAGGCCCATCAAGATGGGTTGGCTGAAGAAGCAGCGGTCCATCGTGAAAAACTGGCAGCAGAGGTATTTTGTGTTGAAGGCGCAGCAGCTGTACTATTACAAGGACGAAGAGGACTCGAAGCCGCAGGTACCAGCTGGGTGTTTATTTCTGTTCATAGGGCTCTCTGTCTTTGGGCATAATGAAGGTAGGCTTACACTGTCCTAGAGGAGAAGTAGGCACATCCATCTGTGGAAGAGTTGCTTTTGTCTTTTCACTACAAACTGAGTTGCAGAGATGACAGAGGGGCCCTTCACAAGGTAAGTACTGTGGAGTTTCCTTAAGTGTATGGCTGAGTTCAGGCTCACAATGCTTTGGAGACTCAGAATCAGAGAAAATACATTTGGACTCCATAAAAAAGACTTGCTGCTCTTTGATTTTTTTTTTTTCTCAGTGAACATATACGAAGCATTTAGTTGTTTGTTGTGCATAATGTGTTTATGCATAAATGTTCTAGTCCCAGGGACTGTTCTAGGTACTTGAAATGAGTGAGAAAAACAGGCTAAACATCTCTGCCATACAGAGTTTAGACCATGGAGGGAAAATAGAAAATAAACATAATAAATTCAAAAAGTATGCAGCTTTTTAGAAAAAGATTAGTTCTATGAGGAAAAAATAGAATGATATAGGAGAGACCTAGAGTTTGGGGAAAGTGTTGGTAATTTTTAAATAGGATGGTCAGAGTGGCCCCCTAGACGGTGATATTTGTGAAAAGAAAAGTGGATTTCTGGGAAATACCATTCCAGACAGGGGACAGCTGGAACAAAGGCCCAAAAAGGAGCGTGGTTGGCCTATGTGGAGACTAGCAGGAGGTCGGTGTCATGGACAGGGTTAGAGAATGAGAGCCACAGAGGCTGAGGTCAGAGAAGTGAGACAGGGGGCAGGGGGCACACATGTGAAGGGAACTGTAGGTCACCGCTATGACTTGAACATGTGCAGTAACACGGGAGGCATTCCAGGCACGCCGGAGGATAGAGGTGACACTCTTCAGCTTGTATTCTAAAAAGAGAGCTCTTGTTGCCGTGTTCTAAAATAAATAAGGGGCTGGGCAGGGATATGGGTAATCTAGGTAAGAAATATGATGTTTAGAATCACAGAAGAGATATGGGCTAGTGGCAGAAAGATTCTAGATATACTTGACCATAGAGCAAACAGGATTTCCTGGTAGAGTAGAGGGCTACAAGAGTGGGCTTTCATCTAAATCTTGGGCCTAGGTCTCTTCTCCCTACCTCATGGCTTCTTCATGTCTACTGTGATGTGCAAGAGTGAGAGAAGGTGCTGTTAACAGTAACCCTGGGGATAAGCTGGAGTCCTGGACAGCCAAGATGGCTGAACACCTCCTAGAGATCCTGTCTGTGGGGTTTTAGAAGGGTAGGATTGGCCAGAAAGAACCTATTAGGTTAGCTCAGTGGTTCTGCATCCTGTCTCCCAAGTGCAGGGACCCGAGTTTGATCCCCATTATGAAAAAGAACTTATTAGGGAAAACAGAATCTAGAAACTTCTGGACCCAGGGAAAAAAAAACAAAACAAGAATGGTAAGAATAAGAAGCATATGGATTTTGAGGATGGGTGGGCAGGTGGATGGAAGACAAATGAAACAGTCTTCTGGAAAGGGCAGCTCTCTATACGGGCTGGCTTGAGGACCCTTAACACTGCAGCAGGACTTGGTAAACCAGCCCTCCATGTGAGACCCTGTGGTCTGCGTGTCTGTCACTGTGGAGGCCAGGGAAGCACCTTAGAGACAGACTTCCTTCTCTTTATGACCAACGCAGACTTTCTCACGGCCAAGCAATTCCGAACTAAGACAGGGGCAGAGGGTGCAGAAGATAACACAGGAAGCCTTCACACTGCAGAGAGCAATGCTTTGGCCATCACAAATCAATGAAAAGGGCATTGGTGGTGGTGGTTCCCACAGTGTAAGGATGACAGGGTTTGAGTGGGTTGTTTTGTTTTTTTTTCCCTAGCTCCACCATTGTCTGGCTGTGTAATTATTTAATTTTTCTGTATCCTTCTTTCTCCCTTTATCAAATGAAACAACACCACCTGGTATGCATTTGTGACATGATTCAATGATAGAAAGCCTGTGTAAAAAGATGTTTTATAAAAACATTAATTAGCCAAATGGTAAAGTAAATATTTGAAGGACTTTGCTTCTTTTCCCACTTCTAGGAAGGGGACCCCCAAGACCTTCTGAGGATTAAAATAGCCTGGGATAATGAGGGGAAGCTTCTCCTAAGATGACAAGGATGATTCATTTTTAAGAAATTTATCAATATAATAATACATCAGATCAATAGGGCAAATGAGAAAAACCACATGACCCCTAAAAGGTGGCCAAGAAAGGCATACAGTAAAATCTGACTCTTTTCAAATATACAAAATAAACTTTTAAGAATACAATGATATTTTCTTAGAAAGAATAATTATGTTTTACCATGTGTTGATGTGTGTATTTTGATTGCAGAGGATATACACGTAAATGGTAGTAAATTTGGGGAATGCAGAAAAATACAAAGTGAAAAATAAAAATTATTCATAGTCCCATCAGCAAAAATAGCCATATAAATCTAGCTATTCTTATCCATAGCTATTTATAAAGCTATCTATTATAAAGGCAAAATTAGTATAATATTACTTAACTAAAGTAAAGCAATGTGTCATGAATATTGGTCCCTAATAATAATTATCATTCTATAATGTAATTACAAATAGAAGCAAAACACCTGTATAGATGGTCTATAATTTCTGTCTGTCGGAAATGTGGATTTATGTTTATGTATCATTATCGCAGATCAGAATTAAGTAGCTATCCTTATAGATTTCATAGTTATTATGGTATTAAGATAAAGAAAAGATCTAAATCTATTAAAGCCAAAGTACTGTTAACTGTATTGTCATTTAAATTTATTCCCAAGACAATGAAAAACCTAGAAATGAAATGAGAGCTACAGACTAGAGCTAAAATTTTGAGAAAATGCAAAGGTACATTTCTGATTTAGATTTCACACCATTCATGATTCTGAAAAATTAGAGAATTAAAAGTAAAAAGTAAATTCATAAAAATATAAGAAGAAAATATCATTATGTTTAAGTTTTAATTTCTTTTTTATTAGTATATATTTTCAATATATGATAATTACATTTGTTTTGGGGACTTGGTACACATACATATTGTCTTTTAACCATTTTACTTCCTCTTCCTCTCCTAATGTCCCATTTCCCCCATCCTCACATCCTCTGGGAAACTGAATTTTTAAAATTGTTTATTGGTACATTTTAGGTATACAGTACAGTTACCTTCATCATTGGGATCTTGTACCTTTACATGACGGATCTTGGTTCTCATTTTTTCCTCGTCCCTGCCCTCCTTTCACCCCCTCCTCTCCTCCCCATTTACAAATACTTTATTTCCATTTTTTCATTTTCTCATGTTTTTTTTTCTTTTCCCTTATTACCTTTCCCCTACCCTTCCCACTTTCCCTACACCGTTAGCCCTTTTCTTCCTATTTCACATGGTCAATTATCTTGTTAGGATCTTATGTACTGTTATAGTTTTTCACACCAGAGAAACTATTCTGGGAAGCTGATTTTTAAAGCACAACATAGATTTCACAAAGAAAAGACTAATTTCATGAATATAAATTTATCTTAAAAATCAGCATTTATTATGATTTCAAGTAGTAAACCAGAAAAAAATGTGTATTATATGTGGTAAGCAGATATTCTTAACATTTAAGGTATTCATCCAAAGCCATAAGAAAAATTTAAACTGTTCAATACAAAAGTGAGCAATGATACAAATAGACAATTTACCAAAGAAATGTAGTGGCCAGTAAACATATAGCAAAAAGTTCAAGCTCAGTAACTAATAACAACATACAATGTAAATTAATGAGACACCAATGCCCTTTATCAAATTGGGAAAAGTTTTCTAGAAATTTTAGTAATTGAAAACTAAGAAAAAAATTCACATGCAAAACTTGTAGAAATGAAAATCTGTACAAGCTTTCTGGAGGCTATTCTGTTTTTTTTTAAAAATATAAACCCTTGACCCCCATTTCTAATAGCAGAATTTAGCCTACAGTTTTTCTGTCAGTTGACCAAATTTTCCATCAGGGTGTGGAGGTGAATGCTTCTGACAGCAGGTTCTCTGCTGGGGAGTTGATCTGAATACAGTATCTGTCAATTTCTGTGGTATAGATATTCTCAGTAAGATAGATTCAAACTATCAGCGTGATATTACTGAATTCAGAGTGGAGAAGCCATAGCACATTAAACAGCATTTCTACCACACAGAGGAAGTAAATGTAATCAACCAGAAATAAATGTAGTAAATAATAAGGATATGTGATAAATTTTAAGTAATGTTATCATTGTTTGCTATAAAATAAAACATTTTATCATAGGTTTGTGTAGTTTAAGTTTTAAGAATGGCTGTGCTTAGCAGCTGGCCTATAGAGTTCCTGAAAATGGAACAGTTTGTCCTCACGAACCAATGTAAGCTGGCCGTCGTACATCGTTGCCACACCTGTCTCCCCTGCGGCAGGACATGTGGCTTTCAGTATGACCCTCCTCTATCAGTTCCACACAGAGGCCACCCTTGTCAAAGTGCAAAGTAGGTGAAAGCGGTGATAGGCAACTCGAGTCCTTCCCTTTTTGTGACAGTCCCTTCCTCATCAGTGTTCCTCCCTTCACTCGGACTGGTGTCTCTTCCTCCAGCGCGCCTTCCTCTATCTATTGACGATCTTGCAGGGTCATATGCTTAGCGTGAGGGAAGCACCTGCACTGTTACACACTGTTACTCAGTGTGAGTGAGCTGAACTCCCATTGTTACTTATTATGGCAAGTGGGATGTGTAAGTAAGTCCTTACTGTACTCTATACTTCTGGAATCATACAGACCAATATTTGAATCATATCTTTTCTACTAACTAATTCTGATCTTGGGTCAGCTAATTAAGCTTTCTAAACCTTATTTCTCCGTGTCTCCAGTGGGGAAAGCTAATCATCTTTCCTTCACAGACTTTCTATGAAGATCAGATATGCTAATACATATATATTCAGGGCAATCAGCGGGGACTCTGGCACCTTGTACCTGCTCAAATATAAATATAAATATATAATTTTTACCTGATGAAATGTTTTGGGTACCACCTGACATAAGGAAAGCAGATACTTCTGAAGTTGGCTTTCCTTTCCTTCCTAGCAGTGCTACTTCCAGTCTAAAAGTAACACGACCTTTGATGCTAGCGCTGTAACTCATCCTAAGTAACTCATTCAAAGTAGCCCAGTAGCATCACAGTCTTATGGTGATTTTTTTGGAAAGCATTGATGTGATTTATAAAGACAGTGAAGATCAAGTAGAGGGAGGTGTTTTCGTTTTGAGTTGTTTTATTCTTTTGAAACAGGGTCTCACTATATATTCCAGGCTGGTCTTGAACTCATGATACTCCTGCCTCAGTCTCATGAGTCCTGGGATTAAAGGTGTGCACCACCACATCTGATTGAGATTATTATCATGCCTAGTACCACAAAAAGTGTGTGTGAGGGAGCACAGGCTTCTGGAAAGTGCTTCTTGGTAGCTCTTGCGGCTGCTAAGTTACTAAGTCCTCTTAAATGGGTATCTGTGGACAGTCTTAAGTGTCCCCCAGAAAAATAGTATGGTGTCAGCATTGTCTTCACTGAGAGCATTTAGCCATGAAGTTGGGTCTTGGAAAGGTAGGGTGGGGCAAGTATTGGTAATGGCACCCTCTCAGCCATCCTCCTGTCAGGACCCTGTCCTTCTTGCTCTAGGCTCCTAGCTTGCTCTCAGCGGGCTGCCACTTAATTGGACTAAGGCCTGAGCAACATCAGAAGAGCTCCGTTCAAACTGAGCTGCCCTGCTTCCACGCTCCTCTCCACCGACCCTCCTGCTCATCACACCCTTGTTATCCACCTGTTCTCTAACAAAATTTCAGTCTGTAGGTGATAGATACAATGCTGCTTATCTTAAAAGCCTGATTTGAATCTTTCAGGGCTGTATGTATCTACCCGGAAGTACCATCAAAGAGATTGCTACAAACCCAGAAGAAGCAGGGAAGTTTGTCTTTGAAGTCATTCCAGGTAGGTGCATTCCAAGTTAATTCCAAGAGGTAGGAAAGAGGCTTATGACACCCACCTTTTACTCCTGGATCATGGAAGTCAAGGTTTCAGTGAGTCCTTCAACCAATCATCTATCCAGTTAGGATCATATGACAGTTCTGCTGCATACGGGTCAACCAGACCTAATAAGAAACGATAGTTTCCACTTGCTGTACGCTTAGCACGTACTCGGTGTTGTATGTAACATATGAGGTGTGACAGAAAAATGCAGCAAATGTTTAAATTAAACAAAAATATTGTAGTACAAGACAGATTACCCTTAATTCCCCTCAAGCACACTTGTCTCATCATTCTTGCCTCTGTGTGAAGCGGTTCCGGAAGTCCTCTTTCATATCTGTAGTTGCCATATTATGGCTGCCTTGATGTTCTTTCAATACTTTTATCTTTCATGGTCATTGTGACTCAGAGGCGGAGCCAGAAGTCTCACAATGCCAGACCCGGTGAATCAGGGGAACGAGGGCATACCATCATGTTTTATTTGACAGAAACTGCTGTAAACATTCTGAATTGATCCAGCACATCGAGACAGCCACGAAAAGTCAGTCGTGAGGGGACTTCCAGATCTGCTTCAGAAAGTGGCAAGAGCAACGGGATAAGAGTGTTCAAAGGAAGAGAGAGTAGTTTGAAGGGAACTAATGGCAATGTATTTTTTACTGTGACACACTTTTAAACATTCACCATATTTACGATCACACTGTGTACTGTTCACGTGAGCTGCACACGGAAGATGACCAATTGGGACTTCCCTTCCTCCAGTGTATTTGGAGCATGGGAGCTTGGCTCATGCTCTGAAGCTGCCACACTGAGGCTGTTTGTTCTTGTCTCTTTGTCTCCTTGTCTCTTGCTCTTACACCACCCCTAGCTCTGATACCACTTTAGGAAAACTGTCATTCTCTTACATAACGCATTTATTGAGCACCTGCTAGGAGATGTCTTTAAACTGGGGATCTGAGAAAAGAACAAAACTACATGAACTCAACTTGTCTAGTGGAGGAAGACTGGCAACAAACCAAATAAATGAATAAATTGTATAGTTTTATGTTGGGATAAGTACTCCTGAAGAAAAGCAAACAGAAAGTTCTGGCTGAGATAGGGATGGCAGTAGTTAATTTGTCGTTTATAACAGAGCTGATAGGGTGTGTGCCATTGAGAATGTGACACGCAGGTGAATATCTGAAGGTCCTGAAGGAGTGAGACAACTGCAGATCTGGTGGAAGAGCATTCCAGGAAGGGGGAACAGACAGTGTATAGTTCCCATTCTTATTTCACATGTTCCAGGAATATCCAGGAGGCCAGTGTGGTTAGCAGAGAGGAGTGATGCAAGAGTAGGAGGTTTGGCTAGGAGGGGGACTTCTTGACCACTCTTGATTTTCCATTTTACTTCTGGAAGATTTGATGACATTTACAGGCAACTATAGGAAATCCAACTTATATACTGAAAGGATAGAAAGCAACTAGGAGGCTCTGAGCATAGGATGTGACTCATGTTTTAAAACCATTTTGATTTGAGAATAAAATGTAAGTAAGGGGGGCAGCAAGGGTGGAGCAGAGAGATCAGTGAGACATCCCTGGCAATAATCCAGGCCAAAGACCACAACAGTGAGAAGCGCTTCTTAATGGGATTCTTTCCATGGCAGAACTAAAAGATCTGCTAGGAAATCATAGACTAAGAAAGCATGTTTTGACAACATAGTAATTGAAGTGTGGGTATGGTGGGGAATAATTACAGATACAATTCGCTGAAGGTCAAATTTAGAAGTAAGACAGGCTAGTGGAATTTCTATTCAGAGGAATGAGTTTGGCAGTGACTTCCTAGTTACCGATGGGCACTACCTTTGCATCACGGGCTACAGTTCTATTATAGTAAAAAGGAAATAGTGCCCCTCTCCATTCTGTTTCAAAGTGGTATCATGCTTTCTAGGGAATCTTTAAGCTCTTTCCCAAGCATATTTTACTTCCCATTTTATGTCTAGAAACACTTAGTCCTCAGGATTGTGCTGAATGGCCAGGGATTTCATGGACTGACTACTGTCGCAAGAGCTGATCAATGAATGACAAGATGGATTTAGAATCAGCTTGTCCTAAGGGACGAAAAAAAGGGAACTCAGTGATATCAATCTGAGTTCAAGAGACCGGAACTAAAGGCAATTTTCATGTCTTTTGTTGTCCCGAGGAAAATATAGGTTTGGGCACAATTTAGAAGTTAATACAGGCTCTCTGAGGGAGACAGCCTGATGTCGTGGGAACAGGTTGAGATTTACAAAGGCCACTTTTTCTGAGATGCAACACTATCCTATAATCAAAAGGGATCATGCTATTTTTTTTATCCTTCCTAAGACTTTTTTTTAAAAGAAACTAAAGGAATTTCTAATCCTGAAGATTTCCACTTTCAAGGAAGTTCATGGAAAATGCTTAAGTTCTAGTCCCAGATCTGCTACTATGCCATCTAAGACCTAAGTTTGATAATCTTCCTTTCCCTCTCTTACCTATCCCTGCTTCTTTGTCTTTTCAATTTTGTCATTTTCTCTTGCTCTTTCTTTTGATATCCTCCTATAACATCTCTGTACCCTTCTCATTTTCTTCATTTTGTTCATTGGAATACATCATTGCAGGAAATACAACATATGTCTATATTTTAGATTTAAAATGAAAGAGGTAAACTAAATCCTAACAAACTTCATATGTCCATTAACTAAGTATTGAGAAGGATTTTTGTAGTCAGGAGAATAGCAATCTGAGGAAGAAACACTGATTTTGTGAGAAAGACACACTTGTACTCATTGTTCCTCTCATCCTAGATTGTTGTCCCCTTCCTAGTCCTTGCAACTGAGCTCAGGGCTAGTTTAGGATAGTAACCATGATTGGCCTGATGACTGGAAGTCTTCAAACTTGTATGGGTTGATCCTATCACCTCTGAATGCTACAATTGCACCATGAACTTCCCCATCCTTTCCGTAGGAAATGGCTTCTGTCCTCCATGGAAGCAGCTCTTTGCCAAAGTAATCCCAATTTAAACTATTGTGTTTGATGACTGGCTTGTAGAATTAGAGCTTCTGCAAAAACTGTAAAAATATATGGATAGCCAGTTCTCCTGAGAAACACCAAGTGATGGCTTTGTGTTATTTGACCAGTAGTGCTTCATCAAACCATGGAATAAATTCAAGTTCAGCCTCCCTTCACTTTCTCTTGCTCTACCCCCAGCCCCACACATCTAAGGCTTTTGTATTTGTCACTTTTTCCTCCAGCCTCATGGGACCTGAATCGCACAGCACAAGACTCCTATATCCTCATGGCCAGCTCCCAGGCAGAGATGGAGGAGTGGGTTAAATTCCTCAGGAGAGTTGCTGGAACACCATCCGGAGGTAGGGACCTTGCAGATTTTCCTGGGCAGGTGTTGGTGACATATCAGGGCTGAACAGGAAATAGCTCCAGATTTGATCCCTCCATGAAGGATCTTAAGGAGGCCAGAGAACAACTCTAGGGCCACGCTCATGGTCAGGATCAAGTCTTCTGTTGAGTGTGGAGCAAAAGAGGGTTCAGAGTGTTTAGCTTTCCTCCTAGGTCATCTCAAAGATCCAACCCCAGATCAACAGGAAGGGTGGCAAATTGTTTACACTGATCAGCAGATATGTGATACTTAAATTCACCATTTCTCTTTTGTGGGCTAGAGCACACAGTGACCTGTGAAATGAAGATGTTGGACCAGCTGATTCAGGTTTCCAGCACACTGATTCATGTAACTCTGTGGATATGTTCAGTTAGGGGACTTGAGGGATCTGAGCGCAAGGGGGCTGATAGCAGGACCTGTAACTTAGGGCAATCTGCATGAGCAGATCCTGCTGTCCTGAAGAGGGAGAGTTAGGACTGGGAAAATGTTACAGGTACTCAGGTATTCTGCTTCAACACATTTCTGGGTTGTACAATTCAAGTGTGTGTGAGCTGTCTAGGAATCTTAGTGACATTTCTCCAGCAGAGGAGGATCCTGACTGAAAAAAACAAAAAAACCCTCAAAAACAAAACAAAATGAAACAAAACAACAACAAAACAACACCTGGAATCAATAAACATATGACTGTAGTAGGTTTTGCTCCTTTTATATAAACATAAAAGATGCAGGTTCATGAGTTCATAAGACACTGTTTTTCTTCAGCTTTTAAAGAAGGCACTTACTCATGTCAATTCCAGGCTGATGGTCTAAATATATGATCATTTATGGACTTTGTTGCCTCTTATTTTATTTTTTGTTGCTCCCTTATTCTAGATATCATTCGTGGATGCTTTTGTGGCTTAAATCCTAAGTTGATTTGATTTCCCACCAATTTCTTTCAAGAGTTATATATACCACAATAATTTGATGGAAATGTGAAAAAAAAAGCTATAAACTATCAGAGCCATTTTTAAGTGTTTTTTTTTTCCTAGTCAATGTTCATATGTACATACATTTCCCAGGATGATAAACATAGAATATATGCAACTTGATACCTCTTTTTTTTAATTTAGGAATTTCTCTGTGTTGCTATAGAACTGAAATTGATATATCCCAGGGATTATGTGGTGATAAGGGATAGAAACCATATGCAGTGGCGGAAAGCCACAGAGAGGGCTTTATGGGATAGGTACAGGAGCTACTCAAAGAAACCAAAGGCAAGAACTGCCAGAAGGCCTCACAAGGGGGCCGGAAACATCACAGGCATTGAGCTAATCTCCTGTTTCTCTGGGACCACACAGTTTCTCTTTCTACTTTTCTCTTAAACCTGGCTGCTTTAGTCCAGATAGCAGCCCCCTTGTGCACACACCTGTCCCAAATACTGCTGTGCTAGCTCCAGTTTTCCTACGCTTTTCCCCCAAGCATCAGCTCAGCCCCTGCAGTCCCATTCCAAACCCCTCAGAGAGTAATTCTCCCTGGCTCAGCTGAAATGAGGCCTCCAGCAGTAGACCCATGTCATGGGACAGCAGGCAGCTGTGGCTTGTGACCCAACACTGAAGGTTTTGAGAAAAGAAGTGATATGAATGGGACATCCAAACTCAAGAGCGCCTGCCATGCCACCCTTAACCCCTGTGTCCTTGTTAGCTTGTGCCTAGATGTCCTCCCAAAGCCTCGTGCGGTTGTAGATGGGGCTTTCTCAGAGGTGGCTGGATCTACCTTGTGTGGTGCTGGGATCAAGGGCCCAGTGATTGGTTGGCATAGTTCTGGGTGTAGATAATGGAAGGTCCACCTGGGTGCTACCTGCCCTAAGGGTGTGTAGCCTGGATAGAATACAAGGGACAGAAAGAGGGCTGCTGTTGCTGCTTGCTTCTTTGCTACTTCACTGCTTTGCTGCCTTCCTGCCTTCTGCCTGACATAAACTTTTTCTCCTCTGAGATGCCCCTCTGCCATGCCACCCTACCTTGGAGCCAGCCCATCATGAACTGAAACCTCAGTAAACTGTGAGCTAAATAAACTTTTCCTTCTTTAACTTTGGGTATCAGGTATTTTGTCTCAGCAATGGTAAAGTAATCAAGATAGCCCTATTACAGGTAGAGATAGACAGTTTTATTAACCATTTCCCAAGCCCTAAATATACTTTTAACTTTTTAAAAAGCTGCTATTTTGGCTTTATGTATTAAAGTTTGACTATTTGCTATTGCAGCCTGGATAAACTTGGCTGTGGCCTTTTTTATCAATCTGGATTATGAGACTATGAGGCCAGTTGACATTTTCTGCTTCCCCCATGCTGCATTGACAAGAGTAGCAGATGTTGCCTAATTTTGCACCTGTTCTGAGTCAAAACGCTGCCTATGTACTTTCAGTAGGATCTGGGCCTTCTGCAATGCTTGGCTGAGTCTGCCACAGTGAATTGCTTCGCGCTGTCCTGCAACACAGGGGCTTTCTCCCTCACTCTACTCCAAGAGGCAAATCAAGCATAAATCCTGTAGGTGGTGCAAAGTCCATGGCAAGGAAATCAGAGCATAGCACTACTTACTTCTCGAAGAGCAGCACCAGTTCTGATGTGACAACTTGAGTGTTTTTAAAGGTACTCTCTGAACCAGTGTCATTGATTGCAGAATCAGAAGGTGTTTTAATACAGCAGTGTGATATTGATGGCCATTGGGAAAATCAGATATTTGTTCTCGTGTGCAAGTCAGGGAGCTTCAGTCTTTAGAGAACAGATGACCCATCTGAGAGGAATGGCTGGAGAGGCGTAGGGCCAAGGCACTTTCATATCATACCACCTGTAAGGAACCCCTAGATCAATAGGGAGTTCCCCCAAATATTGCAAAGGCACAGAGATACTGCAGCTGCCTCTTCTCAGCCTTTCACTCAGTTTTCTAACTTTTTCCACCTTGAATCTGACAAACTCTCACTGATGTCACTACTGCAACCTCAGTTGAGAATGAATCCTTTTTTGTCCAAATAGTAGCCCTGGCTCCCAAACTCACCTCCCCATTTTCACCCTTGCCTCCTTAACAGTTTGTTTTCACTCAGTCAAATGACCCTGTTAATCTGTCATCGAGAACACTTTCCTGCTCAACACCTGATAGCTTCCTTTCTCACTCAGAGTAAAAATCAGAAGTCTAGTATTGACTGAGAGGGGGCAGTCTACCCCATTTACCTATCCATCCTTATTTTCTAGAACTTTCTACCATACTAGTTTCACATAGCTTCAAACACCATAGGCCTGCTCCTGCCTCAGGGCTATTGCACTTCCTTCTACCCTAGAATCCTCTCATCCTAGGTAGTCACATGGCTTAACCTCTTGCTTTCTTCCAAGTATTTGCTCAAAGATCATCTCAATAAGATCATCACCTTCTCCTGATTATTCTATTTAACACTTAACATCAACATCTTCATCCCCCTACTCTGGCCCTCCATGCCTCTTTCTGTTCTTCATTTTTCTCCTTAGCATGTACTCCTTTCTAACACACTAAATATTTTACTTCTGATTTTAGTGATAGTCTCCCTTCACTGTGATGAAAGTGTCAGTCTACTTGCCAGGAATTGATTTTTCTCCAGTTTTTTCCCAGTATTGTATCCCGGAATCTAAACAGTGGCTGACATAATAGGTGCTCAATAATAAATGTGAATTAGCTGAAAGCGTGCAGGAAGCCCTCTCATCCCACAGCAGTGTCCTGGCCCCTCCTCCGGGTTCTCCTCCGCACTGGGGATGATCAGCTCTTTTGAGAAGTGGCTTGATAAATTATCACTACCTCTAGAATTATCTGTCTCCAGACTTGCTGATAGTGAGCCTTAAGGAAGCTCCTTGTGGTTCGAAGTCCTCCCTGGAGAATCTGAGGACAGCTATGGAAACTTCCCCAGAAGCATTCACATTTACCTTTCAACAGCAGGATATTCTCAGACACCTGTCCGTGCACCTCAGGCTGTGGCAGGCTGCAATGCTAACACCTCTTCACACCCTAGCTGTCTCTCCACTGCTTTCTCCCATGACCCCTCCGGGCTCCCGGCTCAGCTCCCAGCCTCCCGCATACCTCTGGTCGCTCAGCTTTCTCCCTAGCTAGGTTTTCACAACCCTTTCAGCAAGGCCTGGCTGGAAATGGTGGGCCAACTCAGCCCCAGATGGGCAATTCCAAGTTTTCCCCCTTCAAGTTGGAGAGAGGTAGCAAGGCCCATCCCATTTCAACTCTGCCACCTCCTTCCCAGGCTCACCGCTGCACATTTTCTCCAAACCTTCCCTCCTCTTAGTGAGACACTGGGCCTTTCGGGGTCCACACTGGAGCCTGGTTTATGTCCCATCCCAGGGAGTAGAGGGTCCAAGCTGCACACACTGCCTCTGCCCAGACTGTTTCTGACCTCAGCCTCAGGAGCCTTGCCATCTGCGGTCAGCTCAGGTGACTGCTAGGAATAGAAGTACTGCATTCACTTGCTCTTGCTTTGTTCTGCCTAATCCAGTTAGAAGCCTTTGGGCAGGGTCTGTGTTTTAAGTGCCTTTGTGTGTTTGTCAACACAAGGAATAGAGTAAATATTGAATTGTAAATATTGAATTGTTTATGCATGGAGTGCCTTTGCTCTCTCTGATTGTTTTAGGTTCTTCACACCTTCAGAATGTGATTTACAATCACAGCACAGTTTAGCCTGTGGTGGGTGCTGCCTCAGTGATTCATTGTTGTTCCTTGTGATTGGGTTCTTTCTCTCTATCTAAAATGAATATTGAATGCTCAGTGATATATAACTGGGGACCGAACCCAGGACTTTTGTACTGAGCTACACCCTCGGCCCATTTTTAAAATTTTTAAAATTTTGAGACAGGGTCTTGTGAAGTTTCTAAATTGCCCATGCTGGGCTCAAACTTAAGATCCTCATGCTTCAGCCTCTCAGGGTGCTGGGGTTACAGATGTGCACCAGCTAATAGGGTTGAGTTTTACT